TTGTCTTTCATTTTTGAAAAAATGCAGTTTATAGTGAGGACGGACTTGCAAGCAATTCGAAAGTTCAAAGGACTGCACAATCTGATCAGCTTAGGGGTCAGTTCCTTGATATAGGGCAGGACAGCAAAACCAGGTCTGGAGTCCGGGTTGGTGCTTGTACTGTTTGGATTGATGCTATTATTGGGAATTACATCAGTTCCGTTATTAGGGGTTGTGCGACTATTACCTGCATCACCAGAGTTCGGCAAAATATTGGAAGGTGAAATAAATGTGTCTGATTAACAAGATCTTATTTAGTTCACCTTCCAATATTTTGCTGAACTCTGGTGATGCAGGTAATAGTCGCACAACCCCTAATAATAACGGAACTGATGTAATTCCCAATAATAGCATCAATCCAAACAGTACAAGCACCAACCCGGACTCCAGACCTGGTTTTGCTGTCCTGCCCTATATCAAGGAACTGACCCCTAAGCTGATCAGATTGTGCAGTCCTTTGAACTTTCGAATTGCTTGCAAGTCCGTCTTCACTATAAACTGCATTTTTTCAAAAATGAAAGACAAAGTCCCGCTGCTTGACTTAAACAACACAGTCTACTCCATCAATTGCAACAACTGCAACCAAATATACATAGGTCAGACCTCCAGATCTCTTAAAAGAAGGATTACATCACACAAAAGTGATGCTAGGCTTCATCCTGAAAGATGCGCTCTAGCATCTCATGTTAACACAACAGGGCATTCTATGAATTACACAAGTATCAAAGTTCTAGATAAAGAAAAACACCTTTCCAAACGTTTATTCCTGGAAATGTCCCAAATTTTCATGAATAACAACTGTATCAACAAAAAGACAGATGTTAAACAACTGAGTGTCATTTACTCATATTTGCTAAACTGCGAAAAATTGGAGAACTTACATATCTCCCCAAATTTCGACTCTTCACAACCATAAATAGAATCTGTGTTTTGGCCGATTCCACCAGTAAATTTCATTCCACTCAATATCTAATAATTCTCTTCTCACGATTTATTAATAATTGTTAATTTAAATTCTCATTAATTAAAATATAGTTTATTCAACTGCCTCTGGTCGGTTTAACAATTTCTTACATAACATTCTGAAAATCACATCATCTGAAGTGATTTGGCAACGTTTGGCACACGCCCACAATTCGTTCCATCTCTCAACACAGACATTGACAACCTTCGGCCTTCTGTCAAAGGGTTCATCTCACTCATTATTCCATGACCACCATTTTGTGCAATCATCAAGTGGCTTCACGATGTAATGCTCTAATGTTTTTTAAATAATTTTTAATCTGTTTTTAAGTTGTTCTTGTCATATTTTATATAATTTTGACCATTGTACCATCTATCCAGCTCTCACCATGTCACTGGACGTTTCCCTCATCCTATACGTAAACAACAATTAGCAACATCCTCACATACTACTGTAAGTTGAGTCAATTTAAATTCATTTTACACTTTTGTTGCTACTGTTATCATTGTAATTGCAGCTCCTGATGATGATGGCAAAGTCCATTGAAAGCTAGAGAGAATTAAAAAAGTATAAAGAGTCCTCTTTGCTTAAATTTTGTCGAAGTACCCAACAAAAGGCGGAAGCTTTAATTTTTCACCTATATATATATATATATATATATATATATATAATGAAGTTTACCACCGACTAAATCAATCTTAGGAGTCTTAGGACTACCTAACTGAATACCATCCAAATCAAGAGGCTCAAAAAAATAACTATTTTTGACAGCAATGAGTACCCCGCCTCCTTTGGATAAACGGGTATCTGCAAAATTTCTGTCCTTCCTAAATACAGTGTATTCAGTAGGAAAAACTTCGGCATTAAAAACTCCTTCATTCAACTATGTTTCAGAAAGAAAAATTATATCAAAATTACAATTCAGGCTTAAATTCTTATAAAAAATGGTAGTTTTAGAGTTAAGTCCGTTATCGTTTTGGTAATAGCAGTTTATTTCACTAACATAATTGGGTGTAGAATCTAAAAATTCACTATCTTTATGTTTTGTTGTATGCGTGCTTCTTTGGCCGAATCACCCAAAGCCGAAGCTTCGGTATGATCCTACCATTGACGTGTAGATTTCAATAATGAAAATATTAGAAAATGTTTTAGTTCGTAATGGACACTGATCTTTGCGACTGGCCTTGATTTGTATAGCTGCCGAGTTAATTGAATCGAATTCTACCCACCCTCGAATCTCTCTCTCGGAATTCCGTCTAATTGACCTATCGAAGTGTAAATCAATATTACTCAAGGCAAGTGAAAACGCATTACAAGCCTGTCGTAAAAGCAAACGAGCTACAAAGAAACAGAACGACATTTCCCTTTTAAAGACGACGCCTTTATGTTCATTAAAAGCCCTAAGAACATTCTTCCACACGGAAAGTCCACTTCGCTGGACGTTCACACGTATAAAGGGGTGTAGTTACCATAAAATCTATGGTTTAAATAAAAAACTGCTAGAATCTCCGAGGAAAGAGCTAAGGAAGCATTTTATATGTTAGTACGGTCCCATTATAGCCGATTTACACCATCCAATGAGTTGAACAATTTTATATGCTCGAAGAAGTTGGAGCGTGTAAACAAAAATTGTTGTCAATTCCGTGACAAAAATAAATTCATGAATAAATTGCTAGATAAGAGCTTGCTCTAATTTTTTGGGGAATTCTCGTTATCAATCGTAGTTATTTGAAGCGTTCACGTTTTGTGATTTGAGAATACAATTATAACCTTTACAGTTTGACTTGTATAGTAATATTTATAGTAATATTTATTTGTCTCCAAAATACACAAACGTTACACATAGAATTTTATAGAGGACAAATAAATGAAGAGCCTGCAGAAGGATGGCCTGCGCGGGTAAAGGAAAACAGAAAATACTTATATAAGAAAATGGCACTAGCCTTAATCTCTATAGACTATTCGAAAGCCTTTGACAGCATCAATCATAAATTAGTACTTGCTAAATTACAGTGCATCCCTTTCATTTTTCGACAGTTACCTTCATCAAAGAACTCAGTGTGTTTTTCTCAATCAAGAAATGTCTCAAGTGACAATAATTCCCTGAGGCGTACCTCAGGGCTCTGTATTGGGGCCGCTTCTGTTCCTCATACATACGTTCGACTTAAGCAAAAGTATTGACAATTCTCATGTCCAGTCATTTGCAGACGATACGCAATTGCTCCATTATTTTAACCCAAATAATGTCAATAATACTACTCAAATTTTACAAAACGATGTTAAAAAATTAATTAAATACTCTTTAGATCACAATCTACTTATTAATCCACAAAAATCTAAAATGTTATTATTTGGCGCACAAAGAAAAACATACAATGTAACACAGCTCTTAAACATTCAGATAAATAACCAAATTTTGCAATTTTCTGAGCCTGCAAAAATTCTTGGTGTTGTTTTTGATACAAAATTAAGGTTTATTGAACATGTTAAAAGTCTATCTCAGAAAACCTACCTACGGCTGCGGACTCTTATAGCAAACAGGTATTTACTAAATTTTAAGTTGCGTAAAAAACTATGTGAAGCATTGGTAATATGTAATGTAATGTAATATCGTATACTATACTTGTTTAGACAATTTTACTAAAAACCTTATTCAAGTTATTCAAAACAATTGTATACGATTCATTTTTGGTTTACGTAAATTTGATCATGTCAGCGAAATATCCCGTTCTAAACTGGTTAAAAATTAATGACATGGTCAAGTATCACTATTCAGTTTTTGTTCACAAATTGCTGCTCACGTCTAAACCTTATTACTTGAAGGAAACAATTTAATTTAATAATGATGTTCACTGTACAACTCTCAGAGAAAATAATATTAGAATACCCCTGCATACGTCTACACTTTTAAACGCAGTTTTTCTTACAATGTTGCTATTATTTATAATGACCTTCCTAAAGTATATAAAGAATTTTCATTACCTGTCTTTCGACAAAAAGTTAAAACATTATTACTCAACCCTCCAAACATATAATTTACGTAATCATTCAGTTCTTTTTTATTTCATCTTTAATTCAGATTAATAATTTTTTGGTGCATTTGGGTTTGGAAAGTATGCCTTTTTCTCTTTTTTTTTAAATTTTACTTTAGATGTAATGAACCAAATCTGTTTGTGGATAGTGTATTCTTTTGAACATCTGCTAGAGACTATATGGTTAAGTGTAAGAGTAGCAGCATGCTAAACTTCGCCATATAAGTCTGACATTTGGCTATACTACAATGTAATTGTGGATAAATAAAGACGTCTATTATTATTATTATTATTATTATTATTATTATTATATACTAAGCATGACGTAACACAATAAAATCTTTTTTTTAATCTAATTAACAAATGAGTGATGTATATGGATTTGAGTGAAATTCCGTATATGTAAGTGAAGTATGGATTGAACTCATAGAATATGGTATATCAGAGGAAGTGCTAACCACCTGTGGCCATTACATCCAACTGGACCAAAACTAAACTTAAGGATTTTAAAATACAACACTACAGATAATTTAAAATGGGCCGCTGAAGCTTAATGACTTAACTAAACTAGCGGCTGATCTATCTATAACTATTTTTTCGGCAGCTTCGCAGACCGCTAAGGCTAAATAGATCTACACTAAGTATAATATTTGAGGAGCAGACTTTCTAATCGCACATTGTCCATTTTGGACTTTTTACAGGAAAGGGGAAAAATTGCTGTAAGCTTATTGCTAACATTTGGAAAACGAGTAACACATGACAAAACGTATTTTATTATCAACAGTTTGCTATAGTAACAAGGCTCAGCAAATATTAATAGCCTACTAAGAAAAATGAAAAAAATTAATGGACAAAGGGCTCTTTGAATGTCCACAATGGACATAAGCCAGTCTGTTTGTCCATAAATGAAAAATGATTTCAAACTTAAAATTCTAAAGCAAACAGTTCTACTCCAATTATATTACATGTAAGTCGTCTTCCGCCAGGTAGCAACATTCTTCGTCATCTTCACCGTGGGCACAACTCTGCGCCTTTCTTCCATTATCACCATGTTCCCGATACAGATCTTTTAAGATTGGGTCAAGCCAGGTTATCTCTGGATCTCTTACCCAATCTTGGCCTGATAAACTTACTAAAAATGTAGATAAACTTTTTTTGAGGGATCATCATTTCTGTATAATAGTTCGGTCTTATACAAGATTTCACCTTCACCACTATTAGATGTTTGTCTTTTTATGATTGTTTTTTTGGCCTCGGAAGTTCCTGCAATTTTTTAAGTGAACCTTTCCTACCGTTTGAGGTAGCATTCATGTTCCTCCCCCTGGCAACTCGATCAACATCGCCAACCACATGCTCTCCATCACTCATGTTGTTCTAATTTATTCATAGAATAATATCTTTTGCGCTATCACTACTTAACAGCACTCTCATTTGACAGCTAATACCGTTGTACTACAGCATTGACAGACAGACAAATCGCACATTGTCCGTTATATTGCTATTTGATTGTCTCTTGCCATCGGACTAAGTGCGTTTAGCTTGTCTAGGATACTTTTGAAGTCAAATACCTACTGAAAATAGTGCGATTCGAATGTTTTTCAGTTTAGAATCTTGTAGTAAGCAGTGCCATGAATCGAACGCCACCTTTGGGCAAAAATGTTAAAATATGGACAAAGTGCGATTAGAAAGTCTGCTCCTCATATGAAGGCTTAAAAAAGTACTGGTTAGGAAATGGAAAATTGAATCGAGTATCTATGTACATATGGATTTTAACTCTTGGGACCACGTGCAGCCAGGCTTTTATTTGTTTTTTAAATGAGTTTAAATTATTTACTTTTTTGTTAGACACTGGGATGGTATTGATAATTCTTGGACAGAGAAAAATCCAGGACCTTTGTATGAGTGTTTTCTCCGGCTTTGGGACTACGAGCCCCTTCCCACTTCAGTTGGCCCAACTATTGAAATCTTAGTTTTTTTGTTATCAAACACAAATAATAAAACTGTAGCAGGGTGTTATAGGTTTAAAATATTAACAATGAATATTTTGATAATATATAGCAGAAAACACCAACTTTATCACTCCTTAATCAAATTTGCAGCATAAAAATGACACATGTTGCAATTACAGCATATCAACCTATTTTCATTTCAATGCAAAATAAGTCTATAACGCTTAGGTGGCTGTGAAAAATAAAAGCCAGAGTGTGAGAAATATTGTAGGAAGATATGACGTAACTGGTTCAGTTAATATTAAGCCACGATATGTGAAAAAAAGTAATATCACAAATGCCGACCTAAGAGCATTAAGAAGAATAATCGTGAAAAACACGCGTGCCAATTATTTACAATTAAGTGCTCTGTGGAGTGACGCTGTTGAAAGGAGAATTTCGAGGTCCACAACTCATAGAGAGGCCCACAAACTGGGATTTAGCACTTGCAAGGTAAGTTTTCTTATAAAAAAAAGTGAAGTAAAAACCCTAAAGTTGCACAACTTGTTTATAGGCCAAAGAAAAGCCACTATTAACTCCACTGCATAAGAAAAATCAGCTTAGATGGGCTAAAGAACATAGAAAATGGACACCTCAACAATGGTGTGCAATACAATGGAGTGATGAGGCCCGATTCGAAGTTTGTGTTGGTGACAGTCGCAGTAGAGTTATTCGCAAACAAAATGAAGCATTCCATGTTGATTGTCTGAAGAGAAAAGTGAAATTTCCAGCATCCATTATGGTCTGGAGGAGTATGTCATCAAAAGGAGTAGGAAAACTTCATTTTATTGATGGAAATGTGGATACAAACAAATATTTGGCAATATTACAAGAATCGCTGCGATGTCTTGTCGGACCTGACTGACCCTTCGTTTGAGTCTCCTGAACACTTCCACGTAAAACTTGGCGTTGACGGTTTGTCCAGGAGGAACAAAGTCATGGTGCCTTTGATGTCAAAAAAGACAATGAGCATCGTTTTCACTTTGGATTTGCTCATTCTTCCCTTTTTTGGGCGAGGAGACGCCGTCGAATGCCACTCGGAAGATTGCCTCTTTGTTTCGGGATCATACTCAAAGATCCACGACTCGCAACCTGTGATTACGTTATTCAAAAATTGGGGGTCACTTTCACACATGTTCAAATTTTCTTGGCACGCTTCCACTCGCCGCAATTTCTGGTCGTCAGTGAGCACTTTTGGGACCATCTTCGCGCACACCATGCGCATGTTCAAATGCTGTGTCACAATGTCATGAACCACAGATTTTGGTAAATTTAACACGAGTCACATTATCGGTGTTTGTCGAAGTCGAAGGTCTTCATCAGCGACCTCTTCCCGGTCCTCCAAAAAGGCCTGATGCCACCGAAACACACCACTTTTTGCTAAAGCAACACCTGGGTAAGCCTGCTTGATCATATCAAACGTCTCTGTCGCAGATTTACCGAGTTTCACACAGAATTTAATCGCATACCTCTGCTCTCACGAACGCTGCATTTTCGGCTTGCACCACGCACAGAAACACGTCGCGCGAAAATGCCTGTCCTGACTCTCCAAGTGCTCGGAGACAACTGACCAGCCGCTCATTCGTTAGCTAGGAACACCCTCTACCGAATCCAGTCGGTGCGCGTACCCTCCGAAGTACAGTCATGGCGGAAGAAAAAGAGTCCTATTACTTTCCGGACAAACCCTGTACAGTCATTTTTTTATTGGCTAGGTTCATTATACATTGGTTATGTTGTGGTATTTTTTTCCTAGAGGTTGGTATGAATAAATTTGATCATGTATTTCTTTCCCACTTACTTTAAAAAATTTCATCAATTTTTCTTACTATTTTCTGTTTTGGTAGTAGACCATTCCTTTGGTAATCATTTATTGAATTCTCAGGTTGTTGTAAAACAAAATTTCACAGTAGAGCACAGTAAAACAAATTGCACTGTGTGCACTATTTGATCACATTGTATTCCACCAAGTAAAGATGTTAGCAATTTACAAATTTGAAAACGATTATTGTTTTGAGGGAGGGAGTAAAAAGTGAACCTCAACTTCAGAACAAAAGTATTCACTGGACCATATCATAAAAGAGACATGTTATTCTTCATACATGTGTATTTGCTTTTTTTGCTTTGGAGTTATAGAAAATCGATTTTCCGCAAGTTTCCTAGAAGTAGTTTGCGGGTCCGCAATATGTGTGTCTGGGAAAGTTTTTATTAGGGATGTTCATATCGCGCTAAGAGTTGCAGAGGGTGCTTGGCACCGAGAAAACCAAAGTTTAATTCAATCTTCGCAATACGAGATTATTTGAAATGAGCCACCTTATATTAAATTCTTTTGTTGGTATAGATACAGCTATTGCTTTTTGGCTGTATTCGCGCAATCGCATGCGAAACAACGACTGTAATTTTGGTTCTGTGATAACTGGTATGCTTTTTAACATACAGGGTGGAAACGTTATGATAGTCATTATTTAATTGGGTGATAAAGGGAGATAAAAGAAGCAAAAATGTTTCATATAACATGGGGGTCAAAACGGCATTTTTTTGGAGAAATGCGACCTTAAGGTAAAATAAAATCTGACAAGGCCGCAATGCCAGACGGAAATTACGACGGAACGCAGTGTAAATAAAGATGGAGTTTGTTATTTTTGGCTCTTAGGTATTATCTCATTATTTGATAATGTACTCGTAAAATGCAAACAATTAAATAAAAATGACTTAATAACGTTTACGCCCTGTATATGCAGAGAAGATAGAAGAGTGTCCTTAGAGGATAGGTCGGAAGGGGTGAAAATAAGAAAGAATAAATGGAATTGTAATAAACATAAATAATCGGATTGGGAGTGCTTCAGGGGTTCGTACAGGGATCATTGCTGTACATCATCTTTGTAAATGACTTTAGCATCTATTAGACGTGGTTTTATGAACTCGGCGACTTTCATTTGTTAAAAGCAATGCATCAAAGAATTTGTATCAATTTTTGCGAAAAAGAAAATAAATGAAATGAAGTTCAACAAAGTGTGTGAAATGTCGACAAAGGCCTACGGTGAGTCTGCTATTAGTAAAGAGCGCCGTGAAGACGTTGAAGATGACGAACGCCCCGGACGCTCCAGCACATCAGCAACCAATGAAAACGTGGAAGAGGTGAATGAATGATCGGCGAATCACAGTTAGAGAAGTCGCTGATGATGTTGGCATACCCATTCGCTCATGCCATGAAAGGAGTCACTAAACGCAGTCAACGATATTGCAGAATTGCTGAAATGTGTTATAACAGGCGAGGCAACATGGGTTTACGGATACCACGTCGAAATTAAGGCTCAATCGCCCCAGCATTCCAGCTCGCTTAGACCGAAAAAGACTCGACAAGTGCAGTCAAACGTGAAGGTTATGGTCAGTTTGTCTTTCGATTTTGATGGCATCATGAATCCTTGGTCAATAACGAGTACTATATACAAGTTCAACGCCGTTTGTTTGTGGCAATAAAAAAACGCCCGGATTTGTGGAAATAAATTTACAGCTCTTCCTTGAATATAATGAATCTGCTCACACTTCATTGTTTGCTCGTGAATTTTTGGCCAAGAACAATAATGTAACGATGCCCCAGTATCCATATTAGTCTAACATGGCTCTGTGTGACTTTTCCCCATTTCCAAAAATAAAGAGAACCTTAAAGGGCCGTAATTTTACAAGCATAGATTATCTTAAAAGTACTTTGCTGAAATTACCTTGAAGGTGACAATATAAATAATATAATACAGATAAACATTTAAAAAAAACGAAAATCATGAATGTACATTCCCATCTAGTTAAAATCCTGAAAATCCGAAAAACTGCATTGCTGGAAGTCACCTGATTAGAAGTATAAACTCCGAAACGTAGAAGGGAAGTGAAGAATATCAAATCCTAGCTCCGCAACATTAAAGAATGAACTACAAACATTGACTGACGTATTTTACCTGAAGTTAGCCAGCCATGTTGTGTATTTCGGCTTCCAAATGTGATCACAGGTATGATTCTCTTATTCGCATAAATCAGACATCTACTCTGAGAATGCTAGTGTCTCATAGATGGCGCTGTAGCAAACTAGATGTTCATATATACTAAGTGACATATAAATCCGAACACCCAGTTTAAATGGTTTTATTTTAAT